ATTCCCCTGTCTGAACCTGGGATTCCCATTAAGAAAACATGCCATTATTACCCTGTCTGAACCTGGGATTCCCATTAAGAAAACATGCCATTATTACCCTGTCTGAACCTGGGATTCCCATTAAGAAAACATGCCATTATTACCCTGTCTGAACCTGGGATTCCCATTAAGAAAACATGCAATTTTATCCCCTAATTCCCTCCCATTGACAGGCTGCATTTGTTCTTTTTCACTTGGTGCGTGTGAATATTACGAATCTATTAAAAGGACGTGGCTGAATCTTTCATCCCGTTGTATTAATCCAGACACTCAGAGACGTTGACAAAAAGCCCACGTAAGCGGTTTGCTCTGTCTGACCATCACTTCTGGTGTTAGTGAATGTGGAGTGTTCCAGAAGTGCCAAAACTTACATTTATGCGTGTGTCCGCGCGTGTGCGTGTGCCCGCTCGCTCGAGCGTCTGTGCGGAACCGGAGGCGATGCTCTGCGCAGAACCGTGCCGAGATAAGAGGGCCTCTCTCCCCTGGAATCAGCATTTTCATTAAGACCGCTAGCAGAGAAAAGTAATCACTCATCCATTTGTTGAAAACGTCTCGGGAATGATTTTGGTTTTCAGGACGTGGACTTGCAGAGCTGAAAATGCTCCTTGGCCGTTACAGCGCAAGTCATATCTGACAGAGGAATACAGCGGGTAAAATTAAGTATTGAACACGTCATCATTTTTCTCAGTAAATATATTTCTAAAGGTGCTACTGACATGAAATTTTCACCAGGGCCTGGAAAAATTATTTCAAAATTCCAAAACTTTTCCAGGTTTTCCATGACCGCGGGTATCCTGATTGAAGATGATGACACAATTTTATGCAAGATTAACTGTGTACAAGCAACAACAAAGAAACCGAAAGATCGATTTTTATGTCGTTATTTATTGAAGGGTTGCAGAAAATTGCACGAAAGACATCTCTCTCGCACACACACAAGCGCGCATGTATGCAAAACACACTAGTTGTCAAAACTGTAACATCTGATGTAACATCAGATCTGAGAACTCTATCAGATTTGAATGAACTTAGTAGAACTTAGGTCTTCTTTTAACTTAATTTTGTCTAAAATGAAGTAGAGCAGAGCATACTTAACTGTGATATTTCACCAAACTAGTAGGCCTAGCTTATCCTACAAATTGAAAAATATACGCCGACCCCATTTACAACACGATTTGATTGATAATGAAAAGCGTTTTGTAACTTTTTGACCCGCCCGCACCCACGATACTTGAAAAATTTCTGCCCTAAAACTGCCCGCACCCGCGGGTCACCCGCGGATCACTAGTGCATACAAACATGCAAATAATGCCGATACAAACAGACAATGTACAAAGACTGTACAAATGGTGTGAGCAAAGTAAACATACTGCAGCAGATTTTAAAAGTAGCCTACATAGTACACAAATGGATGTAAAATCTTGTGAGAATGTGAGATTAAACGTGAATATTTACAGATAATAATAATCATCTGCAAATAAATTATGTGCAGTTAGACCACAAGGCACCGGACAGTATTATAACAAGAGAGGATGCTTCCTGACGTATTATGGTTATGGGTGGGGAGTGTAATGTCTGGAGAAAGTGTGATGTCGGTCACCAGTTGTCTGACGGCTTTGGGCAGCGATAATCCCCAGTAGCATTTTTAGCACAGCATGGTGGAATGAGCCGGTGGCTAAATACGCTCCATTATAGAGGCCACGGAAGTGGACGTGCAGACTGATATTAGTGCAAGAGAGGTTTTGCGACCATACACAAGAGACATTAATAATCTAACGTTTTTATGATTCGTACTAGTTGAATTATATTTGGCAAAAAGTTATTACACACTAATTGCAGATATGATACCAATGACAGAATATAAAAATAATCAAAAAGAAATTATATTGTATTATGCACATTTTTTTACAGTTCGAGCTTCGTGACATTCGAAGTTTGCAGCAATAGGTTTTTATTCTGCCGTATTTGCTATCGCTGCAGTTCCGGTTTTTGCCAGCAGGCTGTGCACAACTAGTATTTCGAAACTCGAAATTGTTTTGATGATTCGAAATTGCTGTCTCAATCTATCTATATCTGAAATCTCTATCGGTAACAACCCATGCAACCCACACATGCAAAGAAATCAAACCATAGATGTCCATAAATTAAGTTATATTTATTTTATTAAGTAGTAGTAGTTTATTAAGTAATAAAATGGAATGACACAGGGAAAAAGTATTGAACACATGAAGAAATGGAGGTGCAAAAAGGCACCAAAAGCCAAGACACCAGCTGAAATCTGGTGAAGAATATTCTTCAATGAAGCCACCTGCTGGTGTAACATCAAAACAGTGCAGTAACAATGTTGCTCAAGTTTTATTAATTTAATAGCTGCATATTTTGCATGGATGTTCTGAAGCTGTTGGAAAGATCCGCTAGTTCATCTAATTCAGCTACAGAATTTATGCAGTTTTTTCCACATCTGAGTAAAACCATAAACAAAAGCATTTCACATCTGCATCAAATATGCTGCTTTTTCAGTGAACACTCCCCTGGTCCAAGGACAGATTAGAGCATTTTACTCAAAAATGTAAATAACTTTAAATAAACATTTATCTGTAAATATTTTTTTCCTTTGTCTTAGACGCAGATGGGTGGCAAGAGAAAATTTACCCCTTAGTGGTCACGTTGAAGGACTGCGTGATGGAGGTTGTAGACCGAGCGAAGAAGTCCATGACGTTCGTCCTCCTGCAGGAGGTAGCGTGTAGTCTCCCTCAGGGTCTGCTGCTGCGGCAGAGGAGGGACACGGTCTTCAGTCAAGCGGTAGGTGTCGTCCGTGCTCTTGGTGGTTGGTGGCAATGTGCGCTTTGCTTCTAGTCTTTGTGGGCCGGGTATTTCAGCATCGCAGACCACAACACCTTTGCCGTCTTGCACACTCAGCTGCCAGTACAGACTACAGTATAAAGGTGCTCATCCGTCCTGCTGGGCACAGCCTGGCAGTGGACGAGACAGCTTATGGCTCAGTGTGTGGCTCAGTTGGCTAAGCCTGTGAACGGAAGGTCGCTGGTTCGAGCCTGACCTCAGCAGAATAGTCACATCTGTGAGCCCCTTAGCAAAACCCTTAACCTCTACCACTACGGGTGGCTGCCCTTCGCTGCTAAGCTCGCTCTCACCTACGTGTGTGTCTCTGTGTCACGGAGAGCAAGAAGGGGGGGGGGTCGGTGAAAAGAGTTTCCCCATGGATATCAATAAAGTATTACAGTGGTACCTTGGAAAACAAATTTAATGCGTTCCAGAAAGCTGGTCGAGGTCTAAGTCGAATTTAATCCGTCCCAGACCCCCAAATGACTGAATATTTAAGTCTAAATACCTAACTAATGATAGAAAGCACTGACAATCAATATAAACCTAATGCAAAATGTTGATCTCAAGCTCCATCCCACTTGCCCTTTCGAGGATCCAGGCACGTAACCAAGTAGGAACACAATGGGTCTGAAAGCCTCGCCCCAAAATACAGCTGCTACTGAACAGGCACATAGCCAGGTAGCAATGGTACGAGTTCAAGGTTCAAGGTTGCTTTATTTGTCACATGCACAGATGTACAGGTACAACATGCAGTGAAATGAAATTTGTCCCGATCTACCCGACCATACACATACAAACATTACAGGGGTTAGACAGGTCAGGTAGACAGGGGATATAGAAAAACAGAGAAACAGAATTACAGTAGGAGACGCGAGGCGAATAAAAAAAAAACAGCCCCCATACTACTCCAATAGGGAGTATAATGTAGGAACAGAAAAAAACACCTCAGCAACATAAGCACATGGTCACCACACCTAAGAACAGACTCGTGACTTGCAACAGGGGTGGGGAATGGGGAGTTGGAGGTAGTCCAGCATAGACAACAGCCATCCTGACCGGCGCCAGTCAACGAAGTCAGCGCCAGTCAACAGACCCGCCTGTCCACTCTGGGGGTATGAAGCGGCGAAGGCGTTGGATTGGGGGAGGGTGTCCTTGTGGTTTGGGTAAAGGAATGCAAGAGAGAGTCTCACCACCTTGGTCTTCTGGGGGAGTTGTTGAATACAGCAGCGGCCTTGACCAAGGCCCGTGCTGATTAGTGGGGAGCCAGAAGAAGATAGAATTGGGTTGTTTGGGTTTTTGGGCGAGAAGCTGTAATTTCGCAGCTCCTCTAATGTCCACGCTGGTCTCCGCCGTCTAAAATCCTGTGCAAAGCCGTGAGCTTCTCCGTGATGTTATCCAATCTGCGGTCCATAGTCACGGTGATGTAATCAAATCTGCGGTCATTTGACACTGTGATGGTATCCAGTTTGCGATCTATAGCCATAGTCTGAGCGCCAACAGCTCTGCCAAGACCATCAATCAATTTGGCCAGCCTAGTGGGGCTTTGAGCGGCTGTCACCGTTTTCTTTAATTTCCGATAAGTCAGGGCAGTGCCAATTCCAATCAGCATCATACCTGTAATCATGGTTCCGAATAGGTAAATATCTTCGATGTCCTCCACGGAAAGAGCTACCAGGCACACGACCCTCCACCTCTCCCATCCGTCCATCGTGTAGCCAGCTGCGTACATTCCTGCAGGACAATCAGGTTCCCCCGAACCTGGGCTTCTCATCGAGAAGATGGTGTCAATTGCGCTGAGAGACCAGTTGATCAAACCCATAATTTCCTTCGTTTGAAGAGCAGGGCTGAGAGAGTCTTCCACAGTAAGACAGTAGACTTAGACGAGACGAAACCCCATGGGGGGGGGGGGGGTAGGGTGTCAAAACCCTGTATCCCGCTTACTTTATGTGTTAGCACACATTAACACATAACCTACTATTAACCTGCCGTGATGCACATATATCCGATTACTTCATCTTCCTATTTTGTACCAGCAAACTGCTTATGCGAAGGTGCAAAGTGCCAAAACAGAACATAAAGCAATGCTGATCTAGCTAATTAATTGCAGTTCCGACTAAGGCGACTGTGGGGGCATTGCGCCCCCCCCCCCCCCCCCCAAATTGCACCCATGTTGAACCTCCCTCAAAATCGGGAGGGTTTAGTATGCATCTGACCAGGGGCCTGCGAGGGTCCACAGTGGATTTAGGGCTCTAAGCCTCTAAAGCAGCTTGACCTGAGTCTCCCCGATTTTAAGTCATACATAACAAGTTCTCTGGATTGTACCTCCTGTGAACTTGGTGGTTCTCTGTCGCCCCCTACAGCTCACCGCCCTCTCCTGTGGGTTCATCACGAGGCTTAATGCTGGGATGCAGGATGGGGGCTTCTTGCGGCAGCTTCACCTGGTGGGAGTGCTGGCCCAGTTTGAGAGTCTGCTCAGCACATACAGTAAGTGCCGAACCCGGCCGGACCGCCTTTCAGGGCCGACTGCTAGAAAGAAATGCATTAAAAATGCTGACCCTCACTGCCTAGGTGAGGAGATTGGCATGCTGGAGGACATGGAGGTGGGGATTGCAGATCTGCACACTGTAACGTTTAAAATCACCGAGGCTAAATCCAGTGACGTGGTGGATCTGCAGCCTAAAGTCTGTGGCTGGAGGTAAGTGCAGAATATGCAAGAGAAGGTCCAGGAGAACAGTCTGCAGAACATCCAGGAGAAGGTCTCACAGAATGTCCTGGAGAAATTCTAGGAGCACGACCCACAGAAGGTCCAGGAGAACATCCAGGAGAAGGTCAAGGAAATTGTCCAGGAAACGATCCAGGAGATCTGTTGAGCATACAGGAGAAGCCGCAGAAGAACGTCCAGGAGATCCACTGAGCGTACAGGAGAAGCCGCAGAAGAATGTCCAGGAGATCCGCTGAGCGTACAGGAGAGTGCCTGGTGGTTTCTTTGGGGTTAAGAAGCATTGCAAAAACAATGAGCTGTCCATCTGACCAAGTAGCCTTGTAAATTTTGTGTGGTTTGACTCAGATGGTCAGCCAGTTAATCTCTACCAAACCTGGGATTCTCATCCAGACTGTGTTCTGTCCATCTTGGAGACACCCTGGACAGGATGCCGGTCCGTCACAGGGCACGGGGCAGGGGTACACCCTGGACGGGATGCCGGTCCGTCGCAGGGCACGGGGCCGGGGTACACCCTGGATGGGATGCCAAAGCTGAGCATCTCCCCCAGAGGCCCTGAGCTGTTAAACTATTACAAAGCCTAAAACAAAGTATGTATGTTTTTCATTATGCATGTATTTTGGCAGTGAAATGATGATGAGAGACAAAGGGGAAAAGGTGTTATAATGACAAGGCAGAAAGCAGCAGTGATCCTTTATGAAGCAGTGTGCCATCGCGTTCTATTTCAGCCACAGCCTGTGTGGCTTACAGAATGGCCGAGTATTATTGCTTTATTATTGATATATGTGCTGTTCTGAAAGCAATCAACTAACTAACTAAAGAATCTTATTGCGAAAGCCTGCAAAAGCAGGAACATCAAATACCGCACAGGCCACACTTTATTAGCAGTTATAAATTCTGGGCTGTTAGCCCTGCATTCTTGGGGTCTTTAGTGACCCGAGATGTATACACACAAAAATCCAGCCACGGATAATGGTGGCTGTGCTAACTTTTACTGAACACCTGTTCCCTAACCACTGACAACAGCTTCTAAACAAAAAGGAACTTTTTACGTAGTTTCTCAAGCATTGGTCCTGTGGCGAGCCAGAAGTTGCTCTTTTCACATTTTAAAACTTTGTTAATTTTAAGGGGAAATGGTTTGAAAATATTAACTTTGTAAAAACATAATGATTATGTCCATTTTATATCATTTTTGGCAGATATCTGACCATAAAACAATGTTATGTACTGATAACACTGAACACCCTCCCCAACTTTCTCACTGGAAAACATTAAAACCAGTTAACACTAACCAGGTGTGACAGACGGACATGTGAACAAATGAAGAAAAAAAAAAAACTTCTCTTTTTTTTTTTTAGTTTTAGTAAACTGAGGCACTTGCAGAGCAGTAAAGAATACAAAATGTTGACATTTAAAAAATGACCATTAAGATTTTTTACGTGCCCCGCTAAGCTTCCCCGCTAGGCTGTCCCAGTAAACTGCCTCGCTAAACTGCCCCAGTAAGATGCCCCGCTAAGCTTCCCCGCTCGGCTGTCCCAGTAAACTGCTTTAATTAAAAAAAAATTTGAGTTTTGATGGCAACTCAAACTTCTAAGTTTTTAGGAAAACCACCTATTGTTATGCCAAGTAATTATTTTTCGTGCAGATAATTTATAAAAACTTCTAATTTTTAGTTTTACGTACTAAGAATTCCCAACAACAAAAGTTGTTCAAAGCTATTGTCTTTTCTTAAGATTTATCTTTAATTTCTGTAAAGACTTTAAAATTTGAGTTTAGCATACTAAGGCTTCACCCATTGCAGTGCCCAGGGTAGAGAAACAGTGGCCGCAGATGTGCTGGTTGGACTTCAAACTGGCAATCTTTGGGTCAGAGGCACAGAGGTCTAACGCACTGAGCTACAGGCTGGCCCCTCCGGACTATGATGCTGCCAAAACCCTGAACAGTTATAAAACTGTAAACAGTGTTTTTGTGTTAGAATCTTATTCAGCTTATGTTCCACACACCTCAGCACGTGGCTCTGAGAGCTTAGCCTCTCTACTCATGGATTAAAGACCAGCAGTTCAAGCCAAGCTTCAGCACATGTGGGGGGGCCCTTGGGCAAGGCCTGTGACCCCCCCCCCCACCTCCCTGTAGGCACCACAACAGGCAGCTGTCCTTCCCTACCTCAACATGTGTCTGCTATTATTTATTACTATCATGTTTAAAATAAACATGCTAATTGAACTGTTTAATCTTCATTTATAATACTTAGTTGGCACATATTTTGCACATATGAAAGATAAATCACCTGAACAAAAGAGAATAAGGTGGCACAACTTTTGATGTTTGTAATTCTTAGCATGTAAAACTAAAAATCAGAAGTTTTTATAGATATGAAAGATAGATTACCTGAATAAAAAAATAAGCAGTTGTCACAACAATCGGTGGTTCTCTTCAAAATTTAAAAGTTTGAGTCTTCAAAACTCAAAAATCTAGTGCAGTAAGTTGCCTTGAAATTTTAGATTGTCTTAACTTTGTCTTTTTTCCAGTGCAGTGTCTCGGTGCAAACCTAGACCCATTTTTGTCTGCATACAGAGATAATCACTCCAATGCCGATACAGTATCCACCATACTCCACCTCATTCTGGTCCACTTGGAAAACAAACACAAACTCCAGGACCCACAATTGTACCCCAGGAGCTGCCGGATAGGCTGAGGCAACTGAATGTATATAGATCCCCGCCTACAGCTGTATCCTGGACTTCCTGACGCTGAGGCAAAACTGCACACAACGTCAAAGACCAGACTGGGGAATACTGACTCAGACGTGGACTAAATACACAGGATAGGCAGAAAACAACAGGTGACAGGTGATGACGATCGGGAATTAACTTGAGGTAACGAGGTGGGCGTGGCACACAGGAGGAGCGAATGAGCAGGTCATGACAGTTTGCTAATTCTCACGCATTTGGTGTGACCATGGGCGTCGTTAGGCCTATTTACGGTAATTAAAATTATGTACTGGCTGTTTAAGCTGCTATAGGTAGAAGCGGGCATTAGGACCCAGGCGGAAGCTACATGTCCTGCTTGTTAGCGAGTAGCAACGTTCAACAGAAAGAAGCGGCCAGATAATTTCATTGTCAGAGATTGTGAGTAGGTGTCAGTAATTGTTAATTGCTTAATTAACTGTACTTAGGTTTCCGTAAGTGAAAGGAAAGTGACGTTGGCTATTTTAAAACTAATTTAGACTAACATAATGCTGCTGTCATAATTAGTTATTGTTATCAAAAACTTAATGGTAAGTGTCCCTGTTTTTGCTGTT